TTCGGCCCGCGGTTGCGTCCTGGGAAGTGAACTGGCACCGAAGGAGGGTCGCGAACTCCTGGGGGAGCGGAGGCCGTGCTGGGTCCGTGCGCTTGTCAGTGCGGGCGGAATAACGGGCGCTCTTCCTGCGGGTAAGACATCTCTGAGCTCTTCAGTGGGTCCTCAGAATGCCTCTGCAGCCTCGGGCGGGAGACGCCCAGAGGAATTTTCTAGCCGGTTAGGAGGGGAAGGAAGGAGAAACGCGATGACCCGAGTCTCCCCCTCGTTAGCACGTGCCCCGAGGATGCAGAAGAAAATAAATTCCCATCGCCAGCTTGCTGCTCTTCTCACCTTCTGTTGTTTGCTTGTGTGTGCTGTCTGCTCTCCGGGGATTATGAGAACTTCGGTTTCCTCCTTTTCCACCCTCTTCTCTCCTTTGCGTGCTTATTTTTCCGAAGTTTTAGCCAACCCTCTTTTTCCATTACACAGTGCATACAATGCCGAAACAAACTTTCTGCTATGTTAGGTGCGCGTTTGTCCTGTACTGACTTGTCACGTTGTGTTTTGGTACTGTACTAGAGTTAAGGATTTGCATAACGATCACTTCAAAAGTCGTGCTTAAGCTTTTATTTTAAAAAAACCCCCTTGTCATTCCACATCAGTGTCGCTCTGTTGAAACGATCCTCTTCAAGCAATGCATGTCTGACCTTGAGTTTGGCAGCAAACCGTAGAGTTGATGCCGCAGGCCTTTTGAAACAGAATTTGAAGTATTTTAAAAGATTCTGAAAAGTGTTCTGTGTCACAAGTGCAGTTTTATGGTTAATTTAATTTGAAAGATGAAGTGGGCATTCCAGCTTTTTCCAAATCTCTTATTGTAAACCAAAACAATAGTTGACAGCAGGCCTTATTTTCAGTTGACCGCTGAAACTTTGCAGGGCAATATGATTATGAGAGAGAGTTGAATTCAAATGGCTTTCATAAATTCCAAAGATATTTATTAAGCGCATGCTGAAGTTTAATGAATAGGCTACTTCAAATATTTGCATTTCATGTATTATCATTTGATATTATTTTCTGCCCTGATAACAGCTCCAGAGAAGTGATGAAAAAGTTAATTTAGCGAAAAAGTCACTCTGACCTAATAAAGGGTGAAAAAAAACCATATTAAGCTGTTTGTTCATGTATACACAGTCTCCTCTGTGTGAAATAGATGAATCGGGGCCTCGGGAAGAGAAGTGAAGAGTAATTAATATATAAGATAACAGTTGCTTTAAATGAAAGATCTCTGCTTGTTCAATTGAATGTGCTGTGCGTGGTTATTTGGTAGGTGGCTGAGGGGTCATCAAAGGGATAGAGGTTTGCAGCATTTGTGCAGAACAGCTCTTTCTGCACATATTGGCAGGCTAGCAAATTTTAGTACAGACATCCTGGCTCATGCTGCTAGTCACAGAAGTGTTTTTGCTATCAGAATCTTTTTCTCTGCTCAGTTCTGAAACTGATACGCGCTTTTCCTTTGGATATATGCAATACAAGATTGCCTGCCTTGACAACTTAAAGGCTGGTTCTAGGAGTCATCTCTTGGCTTCATTAACGCTATTCTCTCTCCTTAGTTTCCTAAAGAGAATGAATCTAGTCTAACAGCGTCCTCTGTCGTTTGGGTTAAAAGTGATAATTAAGACTTGATCCATTGGCAATGCATGAGGCAGCAGCTTAGGCAATCCTTGTGACTGCTGCTCTTCTGAAATCCCCAGTATGGGCAGTACCTCTGTTTCATGGCCTACCTTCACCTGCCACTATTGTACCTGCATTTCAAATTTTGTCAGAAATCACTTCAAAGTTGTCAGACCTCGCTCGGCCCGAACCGGTTGAGTACCTCCTCCCCTCTGCAGTTCCGTTCTGCTTGTGCTTACGGAAGGGTCCTCAAGCAGCAGAGTCCCAGCAAGAGGGGGAAACGAGGTTGCAAAGTGCCTGCAGTGACTTCCATCGGGAGAGATCTGCTGCCTCTGATTGAAGCTGTGGATGTTCTTTGGATCAGTTGGACTGTTTTGCAAAATTAAAGCAGACTTTCATAGGCTCTTTTTATAATCTCATCTCCTCACTTCCTCCCTTACGCTATGGCGATGAATGCATTACTTTTACTAGTTTGTAATGGGGAGATTAAGAGGTGAGAATTCACTACATAGGTATAGCAACACTGAATTCAAAATGTGTTCTCAGGTGCTTTGATTGTTCTAAGGCGCTTGGGAATAGGAAAACATACCCGAAATTGCTTGATACTAAGGTGCATTAAGCATCTTTAGCATCACCCTGTTGTTAGAGGGATGGTTTGTCACGCAGTTAGTTGCAGGGGACTTCTCAGCATACGTAGGTCTCTTCTGCTTCGTTCACTAAGAAAATGACCTTTGAAGAATTTCTGCATCTGTTATTCCCTTAGTAAGACATTTATCCAAGAATTCTCCATATCTCTTCCCTGACCTTACAGGGCTGTATTCGTTCTGCAAGCATTTGTCTAATTGCACGTCTTGCTAAAGCCAGACAGTTGTGGATCAGCATGATGCGTGTTAGCTAACGTGATGTTTTAGATGAGGAAAGAACTCGGCATTAATTTTAGAAAGGACTCTGGGACATGGCCGAAAACCTCCTCGATCCTGTTTGTGGAGGTTCACAGTGACAACGCTGCAGGTCAGTTAGCTGTGGAAAGTATCAAGAACTGACAAAGGTTTTTTGTTACTTCTTGTCCTTCAGAGTTGGAATTAAGGTAGTAATGGCTCTGGCTCCAAAGATAACCATTTGGCTTGATGTCTTTCAAATGCAATGCACACGCTGAAGGCTTAAGATTGAAATTCCCAACTGGAGTGGGTTTTCTAAAGTAGTATAAACGCTCTAAAGCTTAAATTCCCCTTTGATATACTGTAGAGTCAGCTGAGCTCTTAGGTACACATCAGGAGTACATCTGTGAGTAGAAGTGGTGGTTAAGAAGTGAAGAAAGACATTGCAGATTTGGTACGCTGACTTTCTAGGGAGGGAGCCGCTTTGAACAGAAGGGGCCGTGGCTGTTATGGCAACCAGAACTCTGTGACAGTTGGGCCCGAGTCCAGGATATCTTCATGGTGCAGAGAGAAAACAAGAGCCCAAAGAAGCAGGAAAACTCCTTGCAGAAAAGGAAATGATACCAAGTGAGAGAGACTACAAATATTTAGAGATAACTGTTGGCCAGTGGAAAAAGTAAGGCTGGTGGGGTGTTAGAAAGAGGCTTTTTAAATGTAAGTTGCCTTTCAAAGAGTCAGGACCTAATCCACCAAACTCGTGCTATTATTGTTAAATATAATCCTTTTGGATCCATGTTCTTTCCTGTACACCGCAGTAGGGATTTAATCTAAGATGGCTTTTGTTTCTCTTCTGAAGTGGTAGTATATTAAATAATCTCCCCATTGCCAAGCACCTGTTCGCTTTTTTAGTTACAACGTGCATAATACGAAAAGCTCGTTCAGTACCAATACCCTGGAGGGATCCTGTTTACGCAGGTGATGTGTAAGAGCGTTCTTTAGTGACTTTCCTGCAAACGAAACAGACAGCAGATTTTCTTGATGGCACAGGCTCCTGAAGAAAAAGAGGGGAAATAAAAGTGCCGTGTTAATCCTAGCCCTTGAATGGAAGGGATTGGGGTGAAGGAGAACTCTGATCAGTAGATTTATCAGTAGATAACCAAGTAGATTATCAGTAGATAACCAAGTAGGTTACTTGGACGAGCATCAGGAGAAAATATTCCAGTTTGCAAACGTTAGATTTCTGCTACAGAACAGAAAGGTCTTTTGGCAAGTAGAGGTGTTGCCGCAAACATGGAGACGTTTGCTACTTCAAGTAAGTTTAATACAACGTTGTGGTCAAGAAACTGACTCTCTTTTCTTCTTTTACTCTAGTTGAATGGGTTGCTGCAGTCTCCTTAGCTGCTGGAGCAGCTGCTGTTGGATATCTAGCTTACAGAAAGTTTCTCTCTAAAGACAAATGCTGCAAAGCAATGGTAAATCTCCATATCCAGAAAGATAACCCCAAGGTAGTCCATGCATTTGATATGGAAGATTTGGGAGACAAGGCTGTGTACTGTCGTTGCTGGAGGTCTAAGAAGGTAAGAGAAGAATGAATGCTTTAATTTTGTTGATGTGCATGCATCTTTTAACAAAACCATTCTCAAACTGCTGTGTTTAGAGAAAACTAGCTTCTCTTCACCTAAACTATACTGCAGTGAAATGTAGCCTTGACCTGTGCGCATAGTGTTATGATGGTATTGGGCTTTTAGTCTAACATTTATTGTTATATTGCTGTGTGGCAAAAGGTACCTATTTACAGTACACAAGTACAGTGATGAAATCTTCCCAGTGTTGATGGAGGTAATCTTAAAAACAAACACAAAAAACCCATAGAGTTAAAAACTTCTGAAGGATCTAGAAAGACGGGCTTAATGCATTTGTGCCTTTGCAACTCATAATTGTACGAGTAATTCTAGAGAAAAGCCAGTGAAATAGTGCTGACACACTTTAGACTCTATTTTTGAGAAATTAAGAATCCAGCCCATATCCAGACATGGGATGTAAAGCTGGGTTGCCCAAAATTAGTGGTCAACATAGTATCTAGCCTTTTAGTAACACCATAAGATCAGTTTTAGATCGGAGGTACAGATGTGAGATGTCTGAGGTAACTGAGATCTATATGATGTATGATAGTTCTGGGGCCTGTAATGAGAGAAAGCAGACTGCAAGAGTAGTCTGGTCAGTTTACAACTGCCACGCATTTAAAAGCCACTTCTGAAGCTGAGACGCTAATGTGCGGAGACTGAGATATTGCAAACCTTCAGAGCCAGATAACTGAGACCAACAGCCTTGAAACCTAGTTATCTCTCTGTTAGGGAGCTAAATACTATACTTCTCATGCCTTAGAGACTGGTCTAATCAGGCCACGCTGTGCGTAGTTCTCTGGGTACTGTAACTTACAGTCCTTGCTGTTATCTGATCTGCCTTCGTTACCTGAACGGAAAGAGGGGGGATTGGAAAAAAAAAAATTAACGACACTACTGACAGTCTGACAGCATCATGACTTGATTCTGAAATAGTCCTGTGAGACTGACATGTAATCTAAGCTCTCTCTGAAGTCTAAACTGCAAATGAGATTTTTTTTTTTTTTTTTTTTTTTTTTTTTTTTTTTTTTTTCCTCTCTATGGCCAGTGTGTACCATGGACTAAATTACATATTTACATATGCATATTTTACATCTTAAGGGATGTATGTGCACGTACATGTAGTGCTGCTGATGACTGTACGGCATGCGGATGTCATGCAATATTCTGTGTATGGCAGCATTGCTTCTAAATCTTGAATGTAAATATCAACTGAGAGTCAAAATCCTAGCATTGGAGCCTAGCCATGAGCTTCGGGGGGGGAAAAAGGGGAGGGGGGAAGCTGTTCTAAGTATCTGCAGTGGTGATATCTGAATTTGGGTTGAAATACTGTAGGCACCGCCTTCAGTGCTTCTGCCAAAAAATGTCCTGATGTGTACCTTGGTTTTTGTACTTTTGGCTTCTTTCTCTAGAAAACGGGAATCGAAATAGCGTCTGGTTTTAGTAGTTGCATTGCGACTCCTGCCATTATTCTAACTATTGTTTGATACTATCTCTTTTCTGAAATACAAATCTTATGAAATACATTTTGGCATATATTGAAGGGGTGTTGTCACTTTAGGAACGTACTGTCCTGCTGAGTTAGGCCTCTGTAATCAAACGCGAAAAGGAAGCAGACAGGGACCACCTTACAATGAGCCTGTTCTTAGAGCTGTAATCTGAAAGGTCTTGTAAAGGCATTAAAGAGCTCAGTGGAAAATTTCAAAGGCATTTGTTTTCTTCTGCTAATGCTTAGTAGAGTTAGGAGTATTTTAATCGGTGTGTTCTGCTTCAAAGGCAGCAGTTTTCAGTATCACTGTCTTCCCCCTGTGCTGATCAGTTGACCTTGTATGGTGGATAGCATGATCTTTAAGATGGTGCGCGTGCTTCTTCTCATGTTCTCGTATTGCCAAGCAGTAATAAAATACAGAGACGTACTTCATTTTCACATGCTTGTCCTCTTTGGTTATAGTTTGCTGGCATTATTTGTTTCTTACAGTACTTGGACCAAGATCCTGTTAAGATTTGTAAGATAACGTTTACATGATGGCACAATTGTAGAATTTGGGCCCTTCCAACGCAGGGAATTACTGTTACTTCAATGGCAATAAGCACCCACTGTGCTTTTGTTAAAGAAAAGCGGTGTATGGGGATCTCTTCTTCATGTACAGGTCAGAAGAAACTTCATCTTGTTTGAGTATGGGAGCACTTCTGATGAGATTTGGCCTGATCTGAGGCACGGAGGCTGTTAATGGAACCCACAGTGTTGTGAACCATAGGATCTTTCTATGTATATGGACAGCGTACTCTAGCTGGCTTTGCACGGTGTTCCTCCTGTACCAGGAATAACAAAATAGTTCTATGCTAGTTGGACTATACCAACATAGCTCTTAAAAAATGAGCAGGGTTATTTTCAGTTGTTTCCAAAATAGGATAATGTAAAGGCTGTTTTTAACTTTGTGCTGGCTAAATTTCTAATGTTTACTTCACGTTTTGTAGAGTGCATGTGTTTAAAAACAAACAAACCAACCAACCACATAGCATCTTCAGATAAGTCTGTCTTGGGATGTCATTTTCTGTCTGCTGAAGTAGGTGGTAGGTAGTTCTTTAAATGATCCTTTCCTCTTCAGTATTGTGGTCTACAGGGACTTCATAGCTGCGCTTGTCACATTTCGTGGGAAAACTCAGTGGTCAAAGTTACCAATATAGAGGCAAGAGTTTTGTCTTGAATAATAATTAGTGTAAAGTTAGAACACTTTTTTTTTTTTTTTCTTTAACACTCTTCTGCACTTTTCTGCCTGTGATCTGGGAAAATTTGTTCTTAATTTGCTTTTTGCAGTGACCTGCAATCTCTGTGTCTTCCGGAGCAGTATTGCAGTATTTGTCCCTATTGCACGGGTTGAAGAATACTGCTGCAGAACATAAGGAACAGTGATAGAGAATCTGAACTTGTTCAGCGTCAAGGGAAGCAAGCTGAGCTTTCTGGAGCATCAGTGCCCGTTTATTTCCCTTGAGCCATACAATGCTTTGACTACTATTGCTAGCCTGCTTTATCTTAAGTGAGCATGAACATGTCGTCTCAGTCTGAGGATCCATCTAATTCCCTGACTGGTCTTGAAGGTGACCAAGAGGGATGCTTTGGAAAAGGGTTGGGAACGCTTTTTTTCCAAGAGAAATTGAAGTCGTGTCCCAGCCTCAGAAGGCTAGTGGTTCAGTGACCAGTTGAGGCAGGGGATGCGTTAAGGGTAGTCCAAGTTGGTAGCTATTCGAGATGCCTCAATGCTGTCTGAAGCCTATGAATTTCACCGTTTTTGTCACTTGCAAACTTCAAGCGAGGATGTTGGTATAGTTGGACCTTTGGCCAGCCTCCTTGGAGCAGTGAAATGTTACGTGTCTGACAGAAGCTGGGTTGGAGTTCAATAAAGAATGACGGACTGTGGTGTTGCAAGGAAAAATAACTGGTCCAGAAATGTCTGGGGTGGAAGCTGATCAGTGTCCCATGAGCATATGTTCTTGTTGTTTGCTCTCATTTTTGCAAAGTACCTGTCGGTGCCTAGTCAATGAGTCGCAAATGACTGGTTTGATGATCAAGTTCCTGCATGATTCAGCATACGTGAGTATTCTCCAAATTCAGGGAGTTCTTTATTTGGAAACCTCACCTGCCATTCATAGCATGGTTTTCAACATTTTTTAACTGTGAAAAACAGACCTGCCTGCCTTGTCCCCCAGTAATAAATGAAGAAATAAAAATCCTACGCAACAAGGCATGTGACTTCAAAACTCTGCTTTTTTTTTTTTTTTTTTTTACAAGTATGTTGTTTTAATGCTATTGTTTTCATGCAGTATTTTGAAATCTTTTATTCTAACAATGCACGGCTGTTAGGATGTTAATGTTATTCAAGGGGCTAGGACCGAGCTGTGAACGCTGGGATCAAAGCAGTGTTGAAGATGATTTGATCGTGACTGTAATGTGAAGGGGATATTGCTGTTGTAAAGGCCTAAGCTGAATAATGCCCAAGTTTGACCATTACAAGTACTTCTAAGCAGACAAAATAGAAACGGACTGCGAAATACTGGTGTGTGACTTCTGTGCTGATCTTCAGAGTTCCACCTCCAATATAGGCTTAGCCTTGGAAACCCATCCTCGAGAAGGGATGGGGTTTGACCTAGTTCTTGTTGCTTCACAGAATGTTCTTTGGCTCTTGCAGATGAAAACAGCTGCCCAGGAGCAGAGCAGTTGTGAGCAGTCCAGGACCTGAGCAGTTATTACTGGCTAAAGGAGAGTCCCTCTGGGTCTTGCTCTGACCAGGCTGTTCTAGTATTTTATGGAACAAACACTTCTTCAAATTACTTCCTCAGTGCTAGCCTTAAAAGCCCCTAACGAATAACCCTGTCAGCTGGAGGTGTGGTTTACTTTCATTAGCAGGTCAAAATCCTAATGTAGAATCCAGCTTGCGCAAGGGGACCTTTGTGTCAGTGAGATAAGCTAGCTGTGTCAGGATGAAGTAAAGAAGGCTTGCCAGTGTAGCTGTCTGCGTGCAGAACTAATCTTTTGGCATCCTACCTTAATAAGAAATGACCTAAGGAAGCAGTCCTCTTCTCTTCACATGCTAGAGAAAACCAGGAAAAAAATCAGCTCAGGAACTCGACTCTTCCTCTCCCCACCTACCTTCTGTAACTACATTCAACTCTGTGACTTTTGCCCAGGAAATGGGAGTGTGGGGCGAGGTTGAGAGTTAGATACTCCAAGTAGGTTACAGTTGAAGGCCAGCTTGGGCTTCATTTTCCTAGTGGTGGCTTGAGGCTAGAACACCAAGCTGAGTTCCTCCTTTTTAATAACAAGCCCCTCATCTGCTGTGCTCATGTGAGCTAAACTAGCGATTCAGCCAAAATTCAGGGAGACCTAAAACACCAGTGCAAAATTTGTGATCAGTGGTCACAGTGGATTTTGAGAAGATACTCATAAGAACATTCGGCCTTGGTTCTTGATTATGACTCTGGGTATACTTAAGATGTATTTTATTTTTTCTCTTTTCAGTTCCCCCTGTGTGATGGCTCTCACACAAAGCACAATGACGAAACTGGTGACAATGTTGGACCTCTGATCATCAAGAGGAAGGAGGCGTAGAGTGGACAGTGGAAGCTGCAAAATGAATGTCTGACAAATCCTCTGCTCACTTGTAATTGGGGGGAAAAACACTTCTTTGTCATGTCACTGAAGACTTCCCAGTGTAGTATATACATCAGACTTCAGCATGTGTGGTTTTTCTGGTGTGTGTCTTGTTTTAATCACTACAATGTATAATTTACTAAATAGTCATGGTTTAAATTTTTTTGTCCTGTAAAGTGTGTGTACCTTTTCATTAAATAAGAAACTGAAATGACGGATAGAATGTACTTCAGCCGATGTGCAGAAAATAATATATTAAATTATTTTCAAATACCTGTGTACTGCTTTGAGGCAATTCAGTAGCAAGTATATTCAGAAGGTAGATCTTGATATTGAGAGGCTTGAAAGTCACAGGTGCAGGTAGACTTCTACTGAAAAGACGACAGCAGGAAAGAAATCATGGTGCCAAAATGCAGCTTAACTTCTGATTACACTGCGTTTTCTGCATGTGTCAAGTTTCTTCTGTCAGGCTACAGTTCAGTGTTGCTTCTGTAAAAGAACAAATTTAAAACAGTTAACTATGAACAGACCAACATAAAAAGCTTATGGCAAGATGGGGCTAAAGGGCAACTTTACCTTTGATCTTACAGCAGTGTTGAAACTTGACCCTACTACCTACCATATGGTATCAAGAACATATTAGTCAAACTGTGGAACTGTATGTAGAGTAGGATTAAGAAGATGGTGTCTGGGAGAGCTTTCTTAATATATAGGGGGAATGATACAAAGTGCTGAAGGAGTAGTGGGCAGCCTGTGGCAGGGTTGTGTTTGCTACTAGAAACCCTTAGTTTCACTTGCAGTCCCTAGCAGTGGAACTAACTTCCCCAGGACGCTTCTCCGGGGAGGCTAGGCTGCATCAATCCAAAAGTGAAATAAAAACGGAAAAAACCCAACCGCCATTACTGTCTGCTTCATCTTCACTCTGGCTGGTTCCGGAGGACCCCTCCCTCTGCACAGAGAAGAGGCGCACCCTTCTTACTGAGTGGCCTTAGGCTCTACGTGTCTTAAATAGTTCCTGCCTCCCTGGGCTAACTGTTGATCAGCTCATCTTACCAAAAGAACCAAAATGGACAAGGAAAGGGGAAAAGGAGGGATGAGACAAGGAGAGCTCTCATCCTCCATTTGCATGGCACTTGTCTGCCTCGCTTAACACTGCCACGCGTACTGCAAAAATGAGATGGCCGTAACATTGGTTTCCTTACATACCTTTGATTTATCAACATACAAACAGCTACGAAGCAAAATCCAAAGAGTAGGGTGGCAGAGAGCAGTTGCATATTAAATCCAGTCCACTAGTGTAATTGCACCTTATGTAAGACTGAGCTTTCAGTGTCCAGGGAGAGGGAGACTACCTCAGAGCTAGAGGAGAGGCCTTTCAATAAGCTGAACCCTTAAAGGTCCTTCCAGATGACAGGGGTACTAGAGGATTTTTTTTTTCCCCAAGGTGAGAGTTGGTATGACTGGTTGAGATTGAATAAAGTGTTTTGCATGTTCTCCTAGACGTGGGATGTTTAGAGGCTGAGGTCGTAGCTGGCTGGTCTGAACTTTGGTAAAAGGCACAGAAAGTAGGGGAAAGTAGGTTTGCAGCTGAAATATTTGGGGGGGGGGCAACTACTGTTTATGGGAGACCTCTGCTAGAAAGAAGTTGCAAACAAATATATTTAGTTTCTATCTTCTCTTCCTGTCTTGACTGTAAAGGTACTTGATATTTTTTACTTGGCCAAGTAGTGATATGTATGGAAAGTTGTTTTAACCTTAAATTATCAAATAAGTTGGTTTTATCCAAAACAAGTTATTTCTGTATTACTAGAATATGACACTGGATGTTTCTGTATTTTTGTCAAATACACTCTTGAGCTCATCTTAACCTTGAGGTTGTAATGTCTCTGTTATCTTGTGGGTGTGCTGTTCCATTCAAAGGAGACTTACACTGCAAGTAGTGTTGTACCCCAATACTGCTGTAATCCATAAACCTGTGTTTGGGTTAGGTTTTCCTTCTGAGACTTCTGTTCCTGTTAGTAAAGTCTGGCTGCTGTTGAAGGAATAAAAGTGCATTGCAACTTGCATATATGTTCTAACAGTTGAAATCCTGAAGTTTCAGTTGAGTCTCCCAAGTCATAAACCTGTTTCCTGGAATTCACCAGTAAAACATTTCCTGCTGTTTGAAGGTGAGCAAAGTGGCTTCCATGAGAAGCTCTTGTTCCTGGGAGGCGAAGATTCAGAGGCACTCTCTGCCATTTACATCTTCTTTGTTTTGGAGAAGCGTCACATTTATAAACGTTGATGTGAAGCAGTTAAATTGAGTTTTGATTCAAGTGCAGTTTTCTGTACTGTACCTAAAGTTCCTGTTACTCTCATATGTGAGCTGTTTGAACATGATAATGAAAAAAATACTTGGGTTTGAGCAAACAAACTTGCCAAAAATCTCGATGAGCACCACAGAGAACACTTCTCTTTTTTCTCTTAATTACCATAACCTTCTGATGGTCTGAGTGCTTGCCTGCTGCAGTGTTTTCTGAAATCTTTGCTCTTCAGTGCTTTCCTCAAATAATCACAAGAATAACAAGTGAATTGGTTAGATCTTTGTCAAGTTTTAACCATCAAGAAATTCTTCTGCAAATGTACAGTTTTCACACTGGATTGAAACTCCTACCTGAAAATGTGGTATAAATCCTTCATAGCTGTAGCACTGAAGGATACCTGTCCCAGAGCAAAACTATATTTCTATTCTACACGATTATTTTTCAACGTGTTCACCTTCCTAATAAATATTTCCAGATTAAACTCCCGATTCTGCAATAATTGAGTCTGACTCATCAGAATAGTTTGAATGTCAAACACTCAAGTGTATCTAGGATCAGGATTCTTGAGACAACTGTAAATTATAAGGCATTTTCTGTAAGTTCAGTTCAAACGTTAACCTAATGGATAATTTCCAATAGTGGAGGCCAGCATTGCAATAACACACTCTTCCACTAGGAGGAAACAAACTATGCAATTGAAATTTCCTGATATAGAGAAGTTTGTTTTTTCTTTTTTTATATGTATGTTCTTTTATATGTATATATATATTTCAGAAACATTGTCACCTATCTGAGGCAAGGCACGTACAAGTTCTGTAAAGTGCTGGGATTAAGCAGTTTTTCATATAAGGAAGCTCATGCGTTTTGAGTCTAGGAGTTGGTGTATCACTGGTTCCATGAGAGCAGAGCAGACCACAGGCCCTGCTAAAATTTCCGGCATATCTAAGCAATTTGGACCTTGTTTGGGTGTTACTGGAGCAGCCGGCAAGTTGGGGGGGGTCTGTGAAACTCATTTTACACAATTGCACAGCAGTTTGAGATTTTCCTGTAAGTGTAATCCAGCTGAATGTGAGTTGCTGATGTATCATTGTCAGTCACTCCAATAATAGCAGGATGTTTTTTAATGGCGGGAAGTATAATGTAGGCATGAAACTAAACAGAATCACAGAATCGTTTAGGTTGGAAGGGACCTCTGGAGATCATCTAGTCCAACCTCCCTGCTCAAGCAGGGTCACCTAGAGCATATTGCCCAGGATCACATCCAGACGGGTTTTGAATCTCTCCAGGGAAGGAGACTCCACCACCTCTCCGGGCAACCTGTTCCAATGCTCTGTCACCCTCACAGGGAAGAAGTTTTTCCTCAGGTTCAGATGGAACTTCCTGGGGTTCAGTTTCTGCCCGTTGCCTCTTGTCCTGTTGCTGGGCACCAGGGAGAAGAGGCTGGGCGCCTCCCCCCACAGTCAAGAAGTTTTTTCTCAGGTTCAGATGGAACTTCCTGTGGTTCAGTTTCTGCCCATTGCCTCTTGTCCTGTTGCTGGGCACCACGGAGAAGAGGCTGGCCTCATCCTCTTGACACTTCCCCTTCAGATACTTGTACACGTTGATGAGATCGCCTCTCAGTCTTCTCTTCTCCAGGCTGAACAGGCCCAGCTCTTGCAGCCTTTCTTCAGAGGAGAGGTGCTCCAGCCCTCTAATCCTCTTGGTAGCCCTCCGCTGGACTCTCTCCAGGAGTGCCATGTCTCTCTTGTACTGGGGAGCCCAGAACTGGACACAGGACTCCAGGTATTCATTGGAATAAACATTCATATTGGAAAAAAATGTTTTTGTCGGCTGGCTCCTCTTCACGTATCTTGAACGTGGAAGCTTCTTAAATTTGGCATTTGTTCCGATTCCTAAAACTTTTCAATGTCGATGGCAGCTCCTCCGGGTGCTGGCTGGGTTTGCTGGAGCGGTGTGATCCGTCTGTACCACGTGTGTGCAGAGGGGGGATGCCCTGGCGTGGCTACCAGCACACTGAGTTTACCAAGGCTTGGTAGTACTTGGTGTCTTCCTCATGCAGGATTACTTCCAGGCCTGCCTGAAGCTGTGAAGAATGCAGAGGGGAGCGTACGAGGAAAACGTGTGACGAACAGAACCAAGAAGAAGGGAAAAGAGGAGAAATGATGAAATGACAGATGGGAGGCGAGCATAAGCCGGAGGAGAAAATTTAACTGTGTAGCAGTGCTAGGTGGTTGCAAGAAGGCTTACGTCCAAGTACAGAAAATTACATGTTTTATTTCGTTATATCTTTGTATAGAATGAAGCATAAGTTATACCAAGTGGCTTTTCATTAGCTGCTGCAACTAGACAGTTTTGTTATCCAAAAAATTATAATTACCAGGTTAAAGCCTAAGAGGTTATGTTCCTTGAGCGAACATCTGTTATAGTTTATACGCTCTTTTTTCTCCTGTGCTGTGTGTGAAATCCCGTAGTACTGGATGTATATATATGTATATGTATATAGCAATGTATACTTATGCCTTGGGTCCTCCTGCCCCTCCAGAATGTTGATGGTTTCAGTGGTCAACATTTCTTATCAGGAGCTTGTGTATGGTCAATATTGCCTCTGCTGCAGTATATTCAGCTGTAGGAACCGATGCAAGAACGGCTGGGTGCGCTGCAGGAAGTGGCTGTGTGGTCTGCAGGATTTGCTTTACGGACATTGCAAAGAAGATGCTGTTCTGCTAGAAAAGCATTATGTCTGGTGAGCCGGAGAACAAGTGGATCTGAAGCATTTTAAGGGACAGCAAAAAAGCTGGTGGTACTTGTTAGCATAAACCTAGAGTCCTAGTACGTTAGCCAAAAGCTAACTCCAGTAATTTGTTTACCTAATGTCTCCCTGCTCTTCTGCTAACGTAGGAGCTTATTTCCTGTACTAAACTATCATATGTCTTGTGGTTAGTTATGAACTAGCTGTTCCATTCAAAAAAAGAGTTTTATTTCAGCAGAAAGTCATTCTTTTGTAATTCTTACTCAATTCAGACGAACTTTGCAATCTGCCAGTGAGACATCCTCTTGCAGTGCCACGCAGTCTGCACTAAATAAATGTATGCATCACATTTTCTTGATGTTATTAGTATTTACGTTTTTGTCAGACTGAGTGAGGTAAGATTGTTTTTCAGCGAAAGAGAAAAGCAGTGATGCAGAATTAAGCATATTTTTGCCTAATGCATTTCATTATTGGTGCATTTCCCACGGCTAGCACTGCCTGCCTCTTCTTCACAGCTGCAGTCCCTTTCAGTTTCTCTTTGAGTGCAATTTTAGGCCCAGAGATGAGAAACGTATACAGGACTCTTTCTTGTAGGTTCTGCTTTCAGTGAAAACTTATCACACTTCATGGAGAAAAAAATCATTATTTATAATTTCTTGTGCCATCACAGATTAGCTTGTTTTATTTTTGGAGAGGTTTCCAGATAAAATTAGTGAACTCCCATGTACCGAGGCGCGAGGGTGGAAGGAGTGAGTGAAAGATACATTTACACCTCGCCTCATTTCTATATGTATAAACCTGACTATAGCGAATAGCAGCGAAAAGGAAATAGTCAGTGTTTACCTACTGCAATTACTCATGCTTCTGTATTTCCTTTAATCCCTTCAAGGTCCACTGCATGCAGAGGAAGGGATGCGTGGGGCAGCAGGCACAGGCTGGCACCGAGGTGGACGCCCGGGAGCAGCTCACCTTCCCGGCTGCCAGGAAGTGGCCACAGGAGTCCTTGTGGAGCGACGCTGTCGGGCACGGCACTTCTGCTTTTCTCCTGCAGTGCTAGGGAGGACTCGCTCCTCGGTTGTTTTTCTGTGAAAGAGTTGACCGAGCTGTATTATTTCTCTACCGCATCAGCGTCTCCCTGGGAAAATTCGCTGTTGCCTGTGTGGGGAACTGAAGACAGGTGCTGACCTTTGTAACCATCATAATCTCTGGGGTTGGACACTGACAGATGCATTTTTCACTGACAGTGATTGACAGATGCATTTTTGGGAGGAAGGGACGCTTGGGAAGGAGAAACAGCTTTCCTGACCAGTCTCGTTATTTCACAAATGATGTTGCTGAACTGTTACCGCTGCCTTCCCTATCTTAACCAATTAAGAAACAGAGACGGATTGTTTCGCGAGCGCTGGGCCTAGCGAAACCTGATTTTTTACAGATTCATACTCTACGTTCCTTTCACTCACCCGACTCCAATAACCCAGACTGTTCCCGGCTCCATATTCCCTGTGACCTGGCCGTTCCCCTGGTACTTTCGCTTCCCCAGTTACCAACTAAGATGCAAATGCAGGGCTCCTAATGGCACTCCTGCTAAGAGTCATCCCCTATAGGAGCCTCACAGGAATCCTTATCGTGACCTGAGACTGGTGGATACTGCGGCAAAAGTGCCTACTGCTATTTGCAGTTAAACTAATTTTAAGAAGGAAAGAAACGAGGAAAAGAAGCAAGCAGTAACTGCAGGAGGAGAAATAGAGCGGATACATGCCCTAGCGAAAAGCAGTTTTAAGAAACGTCTCCTACTCAGGCAGCGAGCTGTGGGGTCCTGTGAACGAACACAGGGCTTTTCTGTACCTTCCCCTACCCGCGGGAGGGAAAAGTCAGATTACAGATCCTTTTTCCAGTTTTGCTCTGGAGCCAGACCAGGTGTGCTGGCCTTAAATCCAAGTCAAACACCTGCAGAGCTGTATAAACTTTTTTTTTCCTCCAGACAAGTGTTGCATCACTTTAAAGTCCTTATCCACCTTAAAGGTTTTATACTATCTACATATTTGAAGGTGCAACTGGTTGTCGTCCAAGCGATACAAGGCAGAGAAAATAAACCTGTTTGTTTGCCAAAGCGGGGCCGGCAAACCTCGGCAGGTCAAGATCCTGATACCAAACTCTGAAAAGGATGTTGGAGAGAAGGTATTTTTCCGGTTACTGAGAAACGACGAAGGGGGAACGTCATCCACTTACCAACGCGTGAATCGATCGTGCCGGGCTCGGAGGAACGTTAAAAAAACAAGAGGAAAACACTGAGGCCGCAGTAAAAAAATATACGTATCGCCAAAACATTTTCAACGGAGGCGCTTGTTACCGTAACGCACGGCTCACGCGTAACCCTACAGCAAGACACGCGACAGCGCGCGC